AGTGCATGTGTAGGTGTGTGTGGAGTCAGTGCTTATGCGAATAGCACTCACTAACACTATTTTATTGCTTAATACGATACACGGAATTTCATGATTTGGTCAATTAACCTTATCTATCTATCTATCTATCTATCTATCTATCTATCTATCTATCTATCTATCTATCTATGTCTCTGTCTGTTTGCACGTCTCTCTCTCACACACACACTCTCTCTATATATCTATATATCTATCTATCTATCTAAGCCAATCTTTCTCTTTCTCTCTATCTTTCAGTCTATTCATATCTATCTATCTTATCTCTCTTTCCCTCTATCTGTCTACCTATCTTATCTCTCTTTATCTCTCTCACTTCCTCCCTTTCTCTATCTATCTATCTATCTATCTATCTATCTATCTATCTTTCTAACTTATCTTTGTATATTTCTCTCTCTCTACATATATTTATATGTATGCATGTACGTATGTATGTATGTATGTATGTATGTATCTATCTATCTATCTATCTATCTATCTATCTATCTATCTATCTATATATTCGGCAAAGCTTCGTCCGGGGAGGTAGACAGATCCCGAACCCGCTTATGCAGATTCGAAGGGAATATTTTTGGCCGAGCCTACGGGCTCGGAGAAACCCACGTTAACTCGGCCTTGTGCCACATACATTCCTCGCGCGGGGACTGTTAAATATCGCCGAGACACAGTGTTAACCTACCGTTCGGACGGGCACCCCTATCTGCTTATTACTAACACTCTTGCTTTGTATATATCTGTTATTTCAATACACTTGTTCAACCTACCTTCGTCTTCAGTGTCTTTCTTTTCTGGCCCCTAAACAGGCCACAACAGAATCCAGTGTCACTTCGGTGAGAAAGTGACTGAAGGCAGGATCAATTACATTGCAGATCCTTCTTTGGATTTTGTCAAGGATCTCGAAATAAATAGCAGAAGGGACAGACCAGATATGGCAACAATATTCACAGCACGGCCGAATGGCAGATTTGTAAATGTGCAAGATGGACTCTGACGAGAAAAACCTTTTGGAATGACACAATAAACCAAATTTCCTTGCAGTAGATGCAGTTATTGATTCAATGCAGTTGTTCCACTTGGAGTCAGTAGAAAACGTGAGGCCAAGAAGGTGTACCGAGACGTTCTCCTGTAGTCGAGCATCAGCCATGCTGATAGCGGACAGGGAAGTTCCTCTCTGGTTGTTAAATGAGAGCAGTTTCGTTTTGGAGGTATTAAAATTTACAAGCCATTTTCTGCCCAATTTAAGCACTGACTGGAGGTACTTTTCAAGCGCAGTGGCCAGGTAAACATTGTCAGCTCTCACAGATTTGCTATCAAGACAGGAGTATCTATCTATCTATCTATCTATCTATCTATCTATCTATCTATCTATCTATCCCAGCCTCTTCATTATCTATCTATCTATCTATCTATCTATCTATCTATCTATCTATCTATCTATCAGTCTCTTCATTTTATATCCATCTATCTATCTATCTATCTCAATTATCTATCTATATCATCTATATCTATCTATCTATCTATCTATCCATTCATATCTATCTATCTATCTATCTATCTATCTATCTATCTATCTATCCCAGTCATCTATCTATTCATATATCTATCTATCTATCTATATCTATCTATCTATCTATCTATCTATCTCATCTTCATCTATCTATCTATCAGTCTGTTCTATCTATCTATCTCAACCGTTATATAATCTATTTATCTTATTCTATCTATCTTCATCTATCTTTATCTATCTCTATCTATTCGGTCTTTTCTATCTTTTCATTTTTTTCTATCTATCCTATCGAAATACTGTTCACATCTACCGTTATATAATCTATTTATCTCATCCCCCTTCATCTCTTTCTCTCTCTGTCTTTCGGTATTTCTGTTTTTCATTTTTTTTTCAGTCCTCGAAATACAACGTGTGAGCTTTTGAAACATATACCCCTTCATTGCTGGCTTAGTCCGGCGCACCAACCACTGAGCCATCAACGAATTGAACGTCCGTTCCCCCTTGCTCATTACCTCCCGAGAATGGACGGTAAAGATATCGCTTCTCTCGAGTCGTTCAAACATAATTCATTTATGTATTTATCTGGCATTTATTCGTAGCATCGCATGGCCCTAATTGCTTATTATTAAATCCTTATTATCTCTTATGCGACCATCTAATCACAGACTACACATCTTCATGAATCAATCCGATTTCTGTTCATAAATTTATTCATATATTCATTTATTCCGTTAGTCATTCGGACGAGATTCCGTCGCTGCCCTTGCTCTTCCACCTCTCTCTCTCTCTCTCTCTCTCTCTCTCTCTCTCTCTCTCTCTCTCTCTCTATTGCCGACCCTCCGACTCATCTGTCGACCGCTGATTTCCCGCCACTAGCACACTAGGCCGCACGCGACTCGTTGTCCCTCTCTCTTTTACAGCTTTATCGACTCACTCTTTTTAATGTTCTCTTCTTAATGTTCCTCGGAGTTTGTTTCTTTCCTTTTCGAGTTTATTATCGTTTTAATTTAAGTTTCATTCTTCCTTTCACTTCTTTCTCTCTAATTGTTTCTACTTTCAAGTCTTCCTCCGTTTCTTCCTACCTTCTTTCTTTTTTTCTTTCTTTCTTTCTTTTTGTATGATATTTCCTATACATTACAGTTTAATATTCATTCTTTCTTTCTTTCTTTTTTTCTTTCTTTCTTTCTTTCTTTTTGTTTGATATTTCCTGTACAATACAGTTTCATAATCATTCATTCATTATTTCTTTCTTTCTTTCTTTCTTTCTTTCTTTCTTTCTTTCTTTCTTTTTGTTTGTTTGATATTTCCTATACATTACAGTTTAATATTCATTCATTCATTCATTATTTCTTTCTTTCTTTCTTTCTTTCTTTTTGTTTGATATTTCCTGTACAATACGGTTTCATAATCATTCATTCATTCTTTCTTTCTTTCTTTCTTTCTTTCTTTCTTTCTTTCTTTCTTTCTTTTTGTTTGATATTTCCTGTACAATACGGTTTCATAATCATTCATTCATTCTTTCTTTCTTTCTTTCTTTCTTTCTTTCTTTTTGTTTGATATTTCCTGTACAATACGGTTTCATAATCATTCATTCATTATTTCTTTCTTTCTTTCTTTCTTTCTTTCTTTCTTTCTTTCTTTCTTTTTGTTTGTTTGATATTTCCTATACATTACAGTTTCATATTCATTCATTCATTTATTCTTTCTTTCTTTCTTTCTTTGTATTTGATTTTTTTTTCTATTCAATACTGTTTCACGTTTGGTCTTTCTTTTTTCTTTCTTTCTTTTTTTTTCGATTTTCTATCATTTTAATTTAGCGCTCATTCTTCCTTTCATTTCTTTCTCTCTAGTTGTTCCTACCTTCAAGTCTTCCCTCGTTTCTTTCTTTCTTCCTTCTTTCTTTCTTTCTTTCTTTCTTTCTAATTCTATTTTGTGTTTTTTTAATTTAACTTTCTTTTACTTTTTCATTTTTCTCTCAAATTGTGCGTTCTTTCTGTTTTTCTTTCCTTATTTTTTTCTTTCTTACAAATTTATTTTTTTGCCTTTCTTTCGCCTTTGCTTCTTTCTTTCTTTCTTTTTTCTTTCTTTCTTTTCCAAAATATTTTGACTTCTTTTTTAATCAATCTTTTTTCATTTCTTTCTTTCTTTCTTTCCCAAATTATTCTTCTTTATAAATGATTCTTTCTTTCTTTCTTTCTTTCTTTCTTTCTTTCTTTTACATACCATATCATACCATTTTCATCATACCATTCGTCCATACCACTTGCCTTCATATTTTTTCACTCATTCGCTTTTACTTATTCGCCCCCTTTTTATTTTTACCGCTCTCTCTCACTCTCCCCCAACCACCCACATCAACAACAAACATCACCCTACATTCCTCATCCAACGACTTCCTACCCCAGTCTATTTGCAATCAGTCAGGTTCCAATTCTCAATCTTTCTACTGATTCTATCTCCTAATTGATACGCGCCGTTTATCTATCAATACATTCTATTTCGATTCCTTGTTGTTCGTTTATTCAAAACGACGACAGATAACACGTGTTTTCTTAAGTCATCGATTCCGTTATTCAGTCATTCATTTATTCGTTTTGTCTGTTCGTTTATTCATACCGCTAATCGCGATTTATCGAATTGAAATTTTAATTCAATATAGCGACCAAATGGTGACATTATATCTTATTGTGTAAATATTTAGCAATATCTGTTTGGCATTATCAACGATAATCCTTGCTATCTAGATATGAAATATCAACTGCATTATATTAAGTTTACATCAGATTTTTTTCGATTACAAACTCATAGGATTTATTCAGAGACGTTTATTTCAGAAAGTAATTAACTTGTTAGAGACCTGACCGACATGTTTACAGAGCGATTTCAATGTTTATACAGTAAAATCATTACCAATACATTATTATACTTTTACATTATACAAATGATAGCTTTACGCTAGCATTAATACTTGCAAGAAAATCTGACCACTGACAATACCTTTCTTCCTTGATTCTCAATGTATTTCTATGTTAAAATCATTAGCAATGCCGTTACATAGCACATATAATAGCCCTATTCTACCAGTAATGTTTGCATTCATTCCTGACCACTGACAATCACTTTCTTCCTCATTTGCAATGCATTCCTATAATAAAATCATTAGTAATGCATTTCCATCATACATATAATAGCCCTATTCTATCAGTAAGGCTTGCTTTCTTCTCTGACCATTGACAATCCCTTTCTTCCTCATTTGCAATGCATTCCTATAGTAAAATCATTAGCAATGCATTTCCATTTTACATATAATAGCCCTATTCTATCAGTAATGCTTGCATTCATTCCTGACCACTGACAATCCCTTTCTTCCTCATTTGCAATGCATTCCTATAGTAAAATCATTAGTAATGCATTTCCATCATACATATAATAGCCCTATTCTATCAGTAATGCTTGCATTCATTCCTGACCACTGACAATCCCTTTCTTCCTCATTTGCAATGCATTCCTATAGTAAAATAATTAGCAATGTATTTCCATCATACACATAATAGCCCTATTCTATCAGTAAGGCTTGCATTCATTCCTGACCATTGACAATCCCTAGCTTCCTCATTTGCAATGCATTCCTATAGTAAAATCATTAGCAATGCATTTCCATTATACATATAATAGCCCTATTCTATCAGTAATGCTTGCCTTCATTCCTGACCACTGACAATCCCTTCCTTCCTCATTTGCAATGCATTCCTATAGTAAAATCATTAACAATGCATTTACATTATACATTATACATATAATAGCCCTATTCTATCAGTAATGCTTGCATTCATTCCTGACCACTGACAATCCCTTTCTTCCTCATTTGCAATGCATTCCTATAGTAAAATTATTAGTAATGCATTTCCATTGTACACATAATAGCCCTATTCTATCAGTAATGAATTGATTCTTTCTTGACCACTGACAATCCCTTTCTTCCTGATTTTCAATATATTTCTTGTTCTGCTCTATTAATTAAAGGTGTATACGTTCCTAAACCTTGTTTCACTTATCTGTATTTTTCTAATGTAAATCATTGTTTAAATAATTTTGATACAAAATAAATTAAATCTAAATAATTAGATACAATTTTGTGCTGTATGTTTTTCTTTGATAGAAAAGTCTTTGGGTAAAAACTTTGGATAGAGCGAGCGCATGAGAGAACAAACAAGAAGAGGACAACCCAATGGCATCTTTTACACCCTTGTGCAAATTAATTGAAACAAAACGAATATAATTCCGTTATTATTTGCACTTTTTCGCATTTTCCCAATGAAACATGACCTAATGCAGATATTAAGACTTCGTATGCCCATTTCTCGAAGTCGTTCCTTGTAGATTGACCAAAGATTTTCGATTGGATTTAAATCGCGAGATTTTCCGGGCCAGTCTACAGTACTTTGATTTACTCACTATTAAGGCTTGACAGTGTATTTGTGCAGCGTTACAATTTTTCTACGCTTCCTTGGAGTAATGTATATCGCAGACAATCACCGTAGGACAACTCATCGACAATCGAGACAATAGTGTCTGGGCGTGATAAAATCTGATGCAATCACGGATGATGCAATATTTTTCAAGACCAAACAAATTTCATCAGAGATTCATATTACTGCAAAGCACTGCAAATGACAGGGAAAAATAGAAATATATTACACCCTGTCACTCCAGTGGGTCTAAAACTGATCGTATGGTGCAAGAAAGGAAACTAAAGCAGATGTTTCAATTAATGTGCACAAAGGTGTACATAATGGCCTAATCTGAGGGAAAAATCGAAATCGATTACACCTTGTCACCCCAGTGGGTCTAAAACTGACCGTATGGTGAGAGAAAGGAAACTAAAGGGGTTGTTTCAATTAATTTGCACAAGGGTGTATGTCTGTTGAAAAAGAATTACTCCCCTATCCACGTGCACGCGAATGCACACACATAACTGAATAATTACATAAAAAATAATACAATTCTTCTTCTTTTATGTTACATTCATCTTTCTTTCCGGACGTAAGCAGTCATGGTTCTCCACAACCTCTTTTGTTGCTCTAGATGACATTTGATCATTTATCATCTCTCTTTATGCTTGTTTTGCCATCCATTGTTTAGTCATTTCTTCCCCTTCTCTTTCCTTCAATATACCCTGTGAGTTTTTAATTCTCCAAGCCCTCTTTCTTCATATGTTTCACTGTAGCTACTATTTCCTTTAGAATTTCCTTGTTTCTCTACTTTTCTTAGCAGCGATCGTTAGAACCGCATATTTAATATTGCTAAAATTGTCACTGCCATATAGGAGATTAAATATTATATAGCAGTTCAGCACTCTTTTCAAAATTGTTAATACTTTGTTTAGATTCTGCAGTTGTTTAATTTATGTACCGGGTGTAACAGCAAAATTGTCCAAATCGTGTAACAGCAAAATTGTCCAATGGTTAGATTAAACTTTGAACCGTTGTATCTTAGAAATGATTAAATATATCTTACTGGAATTCTCCGATGTTTTTATAACACTATTGGAATCTACTTTGAGGAACACGAATATATAATTGCACTCCAAGCTTTACAGAAAAATCGTGATGAAATTGATCTTAAACGACAATGACATGGTCATCATTAATTAATCATCGCCAAGGATCGGACGCTCGCGAAGGATTAAAATAAAGTTCGTATATATATATATATATATATATATATATATATGTGTGTGTGTGTGTGTGTATGTATTAATGCATGTTTCATTAAATAATATAGACAAGTTTTGTCTCTGTATTTTAAGTAACTTCCTTTCATATTGTCTGGTAAGCTTAATCACATTATCGTTGAAAGACGAAAGGAAAACACCATATTGATTCATCCAAAATCTAAGCTTTTTCGGCTTACACAAGCCATTATCAAAGATGACAATTTCAATAAATCAAACAATACACGGACGAAACAACAATGATAGTCCGCCCTTGCTGCATGAAAATTTCCAAGTAACGACAAACTCGTATATACGAGACGCGGAAGCGAAAATCGCTTCGCAGCTCGTGACGTCACACACGAGCATACGAGAGTAAAAAACGAGAAGTATTAAGTATCGTAAGCCGTTGGTATAAATATTCAAAGCAAGGATGAATGGTAGACTTATAAATATGTATGATAGATTCTTCTTTGGATTTTATTAAGAATCTCTAAATATATAACAAAAGCACCAGACCAGATGTGGCAGCAATATTCAAAGCAAGGATGAATGGTAGACTTATAAATATGTAAGATAGATTCTTCTTTGGATTTTATCAAGAATCTCTAAATATATAGCAGAAGTACCAGACCAGATGAGGCAGCAATATTCAAAGCAAGGACGAATGGTAGACTTATAAATATGTAAGATAGATTCTGGCAGGAAAACTTGTCCTGCACGACACAGGGAACCATCTTTTTTAGCAGCTGACTAGCAATTGATTCCATGCATGTTGATCAAATTTTCAACATCCCCTCGCATATAGTGTTCACTATTTGCAATTTCAGACACGTACTGGACGTCTTGGAAGAAATCTCCCATGCTTACTTTCGGAGGGTAATTTATAACTAAGTGGTAATGCCACAGGCCTGTAGGTTATGGGCTTATGACATCGATATCTTCTTATCGCAAACCGACTAGGAAGAGAAGATAAGAAAAGAAAAAACTGCTCACAGCAATATCTATTCGTTCTGTTTGTGTCTAGTTAGATACTCATAATAACCTGCAATAAATATATGTATATAAATGATTAATGATCGGGAAAACAAATGATTGTTCTGTTCTTTTTATCAAATAGCTTAGGCCGGAAGTGAGTGGGGTTGTGATCAGCCATGTTTTTTTTTGTATATTTTTCTTGTATTTCATATTCACCATTTACTGTCAACATCATCTCGGTGTATGAAAACAATCAGTACTCGAATTAGGCAAGTCGAATGTAACAGAGATAAGCGTACACACACATTCTTGTTCACACAGACATATGCCCAGAAATACATGCACACATACATATCTTCCCACACACATAAACATATGCACATAGTTCGATTCGCTCGCACTTACACACACAGACC